GGACGAAAGCTCATTCGATCAAAATCTTTATTTATGTTAAACCCTAGATCTGCCACATTCACTGTCTCCCACATTTTCAAATACACTTTTCGCAAATGGATCACCTTCCAATATTTATTTAAGACCATTTAATTTATGAATGTGACCATTAGGTCCTGAAACAACGTAGTGGTTCCTTCAATTTCGTCTTTTTCAGTTTACACTTTCCACGCTCTAGTAACCGAGCTCCTTGCCCTAAACATTCTTTAGTTTTCATATGTCGATAATGCGAAACCGTTCTCTGTCACTCTCAATTCATTTCCCATGTTCCATTAATTTTACAAGCATTCCGCTCTCCAGTCGAGGATGGCTAAATTTCTAGCCCCCTATTACGGGAGCGTGCTGTCAGTTGGTGATTTTGAGCGACCTTGTTTCTTGATTCAGGAACAGAAAAAAAGTTGTTTGTAGGCACATGCTGTGTCGCGTGGTGCACGAAGATGCTAACCGCGTCGTCGTTTTACGTGCCTACGTAGTCAGTTGGGCTTCAAGTATATCGGTATTTACGCCGCACTCCGTGCTTTCTCTGCCGAATCAGTTGTTTAGACTACCAGCCGCGCGCGAGATCGCGCGCGTGTGCGCGTAGGCGTCTGCGGGGGTGTGTGTGTGCATGCCAGGCCCCAGTTTAGGTGTTTAGCGAGACGGTTCAGTGGTTGGTCTGGGCTCAGTGAAAGCAGATTTAGGCAAAAGTTTGAGGGGTTTAGTAACTGAAATAAAAGGTGACTCACGATTCCCTGTACTTTTTGTTAAAGAAATATTTGGTTTTTTCGTAATAAGTTGAAAGGTGTGGAGAAGGATCAACGGTTGCATTTGATGCCAGCAATTGCGTAACACTCCCATAGTTACTGACACTATCTCAGAAGGATGTCATGGGAATTTAACTCTACGGAAATGATTATTTTAAGGATGAATATTTGAGAGCTTTTTAAGCCTTGAAGAAACAAATCAATTTCGTGCCGTCTACGCCCTTAATCAAGAACCAGAAATTCCAGGTCTTCTTGGCTACTTTTATCATATGATAAAAAATCAGTTATGACATCCTCTTCAGTTGTATAATTAACACTGTTGGGATCCTGCCGCCCACACATAAACACGCAATTCAGCTCTTGATTACGAGTCGAAGAACCCAAAGTTTTTTGTTTACAACATAGGCATATCGAATTGGCATGGATTGATCAACTGCCCTTTCACTTTGCCGTAGTCACTTATTTAAGTGTGGAAAGGCGTTGTTTAGGAATTTTGCCTTTACAGTGGGGGTAGCTGCAGGGTGAGCCTAAGCCGAACCGATGTGGGTTGAAATTGGGTATGTTTAAGTAACACGGGTCATGAATGTCGAGGAGTCACAGTTACAGGTCTGTTGATATAACCCCAATCTCACTGGCTACCATACTGTGTTCGATCCAAATTGCATTCTGGTGCAAACACGGACTGGTTATCATGTGCTCTCAAACTGAAATGCTCCGTGTAATTCATCGTCGTATTAGTGTTTTTTCCGGAAGAAGAACAGCTGACTTCAATATCGCGATTAGAGGGATTTCTTGGCTAAGCAGTATTTCGTTTCCTTGTGAGGCGTCAAATTACAGAAACATTTTTCACTTCTTACCTCCCGCTTTCTAGCCATTTCGTGTTGTGATAAACAGTATCTGATACCTAACCGCGTCCAAGTGTCGTTTGTTTATGAATTGGAGACTTGCATAAACCTGGTTCGAATACGTCATTGGTGATGGTTCAATTTCAGGTCTACACAAAAAATGCAAATTTAGCTTAGGGTGATTTAACTGAACGAAGAGGCCAAGCAGCAGTAATTAAAGTTTAAATTGAAGGGCCACTTCCCGTAGACGGGATGCTCAGTCCATCCAAGGTAGATCAACTACGCCTTTTACTACAGCACGTGACAAAATTCTGGCAGAACGGTTGCACGCCAAATTCGAATAGGCAATGTTTTGGATTGCTTATATTTATAAAAAAATATCATCCCATTTTAAGGCTTTAAAATAGCCTTTATGAAGTCAGATCGAACTCCTAATGTAACTACAAGGTTTGCACGTACAAGCTGATCTTGGCAGTGAGTTTATCACGTGAGGTCCCTTCCCTTCACTTCGTTTTCATGCCTATGCATCTTCATAGATTTTTTATCTAATGTAAAGAACTAGTATAATTGATACAACTTCCCTGTTGATTGGTTGTGGAGCTTCAGCGTATTTCACTGAATTCGACCAGGCTTTTTCATGACACGATGTTAACTGTGGCAGAAATATACTTCGCCTTTGTTGCAATACTGTGAATACGCACAAACAGCGATGCTCACGTTGAAGCGGGTAGATGAAAGGGAAAACCATAAGCACTCTCTGTCTTTAAAGTGCATTCTGAGAAATACAGAATTCTCTAGGTGTGGGCGGTGGGGAGCCATGTGAATGAGCTCGGCTCAACACTAACCACCTATGCTGTTCTTCGACGGTTTTAGGGAACTGGAAGCATTTCATTAACTAAATAACTCAACTTGAGAAAAAAAATTTGCTATTACATAGGTGACGAAAGGCGTTTTGCTGTATTAGACTTGTAATCTACGGTGTGAAGTGAGTTAAATATAAAACATCAACATCGAATTTTTGACCCAAAGGAAAGGAGGAGGATAGTGAATAGACCTGCGGTGAAGGGCACATGTCAGATTATTCACGGTCCTGACAGTTACTTGTTCAAAACTAAATGTGTCAAAACAAGTTGGCTGATGAAAGTTAGTGAAAAGAAGTCAATGTGTGAGAAGCGACGTTGTAGAATGTAGGTGTATGTGTAAAGTACTTCGAGCATAGTAAATGACACTCACGAATACCTGTAGCCAAATGTCACCTGAACACATCTCGCAAAAGTAAACTGCATTTTTTTGAGTCTGCTGTGCGTCACAAATTTTGCTCTAATGCTCACACCTCCTTTTATCATTGCAACAGTCTTACCCCACAGGATAACACCACCAATTTGTTTTACTTTTCATGACCCCGATACGGGACATCCACACCACTTTAATTTAATTTTTTTCTCTTAGCTTTTCTTTATTTCTTAATTTGTTCCTAGGACAAGTATTCAGCGGCTTATCTCCGAATTTTCTGGTAAGTTTTCGTGCTCATTTAGTCATAGTATTGTAATTAAAACTGGCCAACTCGAATGACTCATCCACCAAACATCGTAGTCAGTGCGTGGTTGCGGCCAGGCTGCGGCCTTTGAAGGCGGTATGTCGTGCTGCTTCACATTCGATGTTGCATCGTTGAAAACACTTTCCTGTTTTTCTTCTAAATCACAAGTGGTCAAGTTAAGATCTTCATTTTTGCCTCACACTGGGATTGTTTTTCTTAAATTTTAAATGTGCTGTTTTCCACGAACAAACGTCAGCACTCAAGATAAATTTGCTTCGTCCTGCTTCATGTACCATTATTGTTGCCAGCCAAATTTCTCTCGGAACTGGATCCAGAGGCCCTCTTTAGCGGTTTGCGAATAAACATTCAGCGTCTGTGATTTTCTTATTAACACACCTGTTTTCTGATTTCGAAGTGATAAAAAAGCACAATTAAACTTTAAATGTAACAATGAAACAAAATTTTAAAATCAGAACACCGTTTTCGAGAACACGTCATACTTTCTTTGAAGAAGGTTCAGTTTGATTTACTCCAAAACGGTTAATTTTGACTAAACTGTCAGTTACCTCAGGATAGCAGGTTCATCAATTGATCAACATTGGGCAGTAGAAGTAGAAGGCCGTTTCAGATGACAGAGAGGAAAAAACCCCGCAAACACGTCTATGCCAATGCTCAAATTGTGTTTCACCCGTTAAAAGACAGATTTACGAATACGATTTTCTTCAATGAATAATGAAAGGTGATCCATTTGCGAAAAGTGCATTTGAAAATGTGGGAGACTGTAAACATGGCAGATCTAGGGTTTAACATAAATGATTTTAAACGAATGAGCTTTCGTTAAAAATTCGGATCTCAATAAAACTCTCTGGCGTGTGTGAAGGCGTTTGGTTGTTGAGGCGCAGACACACAATATCAGTCTGAAGGTTTCAGTAGTCAAAAGTGTTCTTCATCGGCACGTTGGCACAGTTAGCAAACTCGACGTAAGAACTTGTGACACCACCACCAAAGAGCGTTCCACTAGACGTTTCACTGATTCTGACCTCAGAATTGGCTTCGCACCACTCTTCACTGGTGCTTTTGCTGTCATTTCATTCTAGAACATGTCTTGTCACCTCCACAGATGTGCCCCCGTAGTTCCCGACAGGTTGGCAGTGCGAGTAGTAGTGCTGCTCACGACGAATTAGCAGGAGGGCTGGAATACTGACTGTTCCGCATTGAAAGAGCATCCAATCGGACTGGCCTTTGACTGAACCTCCGAGTGAATGTCCACTTAGTCATATTTGACTTGAGGTGAACCAAATGCACTTTGTGGGAGATTAATAAAATGTGCGACAAACTCACCCAAGAAAAGGTCAGTCAATCATCTGTGGACATTTCTTTTAGTCACAGATTAACTTGAATCCATGGTGAGCTAACCGTGTGAGGTTTGGTGACAATGACGCAAATTCACTACCTGGAGGTTCGAAAACCACACTATTCGACCTTTCGTCATTTAGAGTCGCAGCCGTGTGAAGTCTAATGTTGCAGCCTCGAGTTTCATTGAAGTGGCAAACCCAGTTACGGGTGTGCCGTAAAGACGTACATCCGCAAACATTAGAGGTCTGAAAGTATGACAAGCAGGATGCTAGATCTGTGTCATTTGTGGTAAGGCCTGATCTGATGTGACGGATTGCAAATGCTGTCAAAATGAAGCGCAGTGCGTGGGTTACAAGAAACGTGAAAAGAATCCATGGAGCAGGCATTTGTGGAAGTCGTAGACAAGGGCTTGTTGGATGTAACTGTGGATACTGAAGATGGCGTAATCTCAATTGCCATGTCTGCAAGAAGTGTGCAGATATGGAAGAAGAAGAAGAAGAAGAAGCAGAGAAGGAAGACGAAGAAATTAAAGAAGTAGAGGATGAAGAAATGTGTAAGCATGAGGAGTGACAAAAGTGACATTGGGATTTTGCCGTTATCTTTCGTAATCAGGCTAGATGTCGTCATTAGGCACAAAGGCGTTATAAAATACCAACTAGAGTATTCACGTCATCCGCATGTAAAAATGTGTGGATGCTTAAGACGAGGAACATGCTAACTACAACGAGGCACCTGAGATACGGAAATGGGAGTAAATGGAGTAAAGAGAACTGACTGCTGCATTGTAGCAGACACCGACTGATGTGCCACAAGGTAGTCAAGTAGGATGACATCGATGTGAATGATGTTGTTGGCTTAAGCAGAGCACGTTTGCATGTGCTGAACAGACCACGCACCACTTCGCTGGCAATGCAAGTGGTGAAAGGCGAGGCCACAGGCGAATTGTGCAAAGTGGATGACAGCAGTGAGGGCACAGAAATGCCCATCGAAGCTTGAGCACAAGCCAGAATGAAGTACAGCGTCAGACTGAAATTGAGGCGGTTGCAGTTGAAGCCTGTGAACGCTTATTGTACTGTGGGCGGACAAGTAGTGTTTGTGGTGGTTGGCCTCAGTGCATCATCGGCGAAAGTTAGGTGGCGCCAGGGCACAGCAGACTTAACATCGTGCGACCTTGGAAGAAGTAGTTAGGAAAAGCGATCAACGGCAATGTGGGTGCCTGTACTCAACTTAATGTCAGCATGAACTCCTCAACTGGTCCATTGTTGTTCTAACAACTGTTCATCGCTCCTGCGTTCCTCACCTGTTAGGTAATGATTGGTAAGTTGAAACACTGGAAATCTCATTTCAACGTAATCCTCAGCCATCAGGGCAGACCTTGTCATGCACAAAACGATGCACAGGAATGAGGTGTAAAGGCGATGGCAGGATCCGTGCCACATGGCTACTGTGAATGACCACGATGATGTTAATTGCACCACACAACTAAACTTGTGCGATGTCCATGGTGGCACGTAATCCAGGACTGTTCAGCCAAGTGCGTTATACGCACGGGAGAAGTCGTGTAGCCACACTGAAGGGAGTAAAAGCGGCAGACGAATGTGGAGTTGATCGGTTCGCCTCCGAAGTGGCCCGTTATTTGTTGAATAAAGAAATGCACACATCTGGAAGGGAACCAACATGCCACTACGTGGTGCACTTTATCGTCAAGAGGAGGGTATCAAACGGCACACGGACTGACGTCAGAGGTGCCTTCCACATCACAACCACGTTATTTGTGGTAGTTGCCGATTGGAATTGAAGCGATCGCCTTGCAGAAAGCAAAGTATGGGGTGGTTGGGACCTAGGGAAGCGTGCTCATTAACAGAGACACACTGTCATTTTTCGAAATATGTGTTTTTTCCGCGTGGGCACGTGGAAGTGCAAGGTGAATGCAGGATAGGAATCGCGTTTTGAGGGGCACTAACTGCTGTGAAACCACTGATGGCATCATCAGTGCAATCAGACCATCACTGTGAAGTGCTGGTATACATGAGTTTGACTTGGACATCGCAAGTATTGCTTTGCCAATAGCAGTTGTGCTGATGATTAAATTGAGGTCGCTTGATGACCCACATGGAAGTCCATTCGAAGTTGACAATGGCGTGGATGACGATTTGGCTGGATGTCTGCCGCAGTTGACGTGGGTCCCGCTGTTTTGTCCCGAACGAATGAGCGGCATTATTTTCGACACGTGGTGCCGCGGTGCAACCGTTGGAACTCTGACAGGTGCTAGCTTAGCAGTGCTTCCACGCTCCGCTCCATTTATCTTCTATGAGCTGCGTGTTAACGACCGTACACACAGCACACAGCCGCACGCCGTGCACTTGGCGCCCTCGCGTCTGTGGTTGGCATGCGCGTGGAATGAGCGGCATCCACCCCGAACCCATAGATCGTGAGCCTTTCATCGGTTCCCCCTTCACACGAATGTGCAGACTCGTTCAGACGTGCAACTGAAGACCCGTGTGACAGAATGACGGGGACGTGCTTTGACCACTCACTGCTCAGTTGCTCACGTGGTGCTCATGGGCGGCTTAGCTGAGAACACGCAGCAGATGCTCTTCACGGTCGCTGGTGTGTTGAGCTTTCGTGTCACGCCAAACTCGGTCCAATTCGTGTAGCAGCCACAGCACAAGCACCCGGCCTATGAAAGCACGAGGCGGAAGACAAGGCGCGACAAGTGGTGTTGGCTCGTGATTTGAAATTGCACATCTAATGGAGTTTTGGCACAGGCAAGAGGTGGTGTTATGCTACATTCTGAGAGTGTTGATGGTGTGTGCGTGTGTGTGTGGATCACTCCCCAGCTGCGTACCCGCCTCCAGTGTCAGCGCATAGTTTTCGTGTGGGTCTTGTGACCCGATTGTTCACGTGGAAATGTGTGAGTTCTAGATAAAATTCGATGTTAATGAAGGTGTGTTGATTCACGACTTCCATAAGCATCGGCGGAGGTGCCATGTAGTGCAAAGTCTTGCAAGAACGGCCGTTGATTCATGGTGTGTGGTAAGCTATCACTTGATTTCCCAGGTATTTTCTTTATTCTCACTTCCTGAAGTAGACACTCAGGATTTCGACAATGAATCCGTTTCGGACCCTAGTGTATTGTGTCACCAGCAAGCATTTTGCGTATGTGTGTGAGTGTACGTTGAGTTGCAAGCCAAGAATGTTGCAATCATTTGTGTTTGCACGCAAGTGTTTTCGGCAGCAGCTTGAAGTTGCCTCCTTGGACTCACGCCACTTCCTGTTCCTTGGCTGCACTAACCTGCTACCGAGTCACCTTGTTAAGCTTTCCTCAAGTTACATGAAACTGGGAGAATTATGGAACAGTCTGGAACTGCGTAAATACACAGTCGTTTTGATTTGAAGTGACTAGTGGCTGCAGCTGCCGCTGCTGCTGCTGCTGGTGTTGGCTGGAAGTTAGTGCCATTGCTGGATATCTTGCAAGCGCAGTCCCACACACCGTCATGGGAAAGCGCATGACGTAGAGTTGTCTTCAGCCGCATGTGACAACGTACCGTCGAGGCAGTTGAAACAGCAAGTTCAGTGCAAGCGAGAGTGCAATTTTGTGATGGTGGAGATCAACATTGGCATGCCCAATTTTAGACCGTCTCGACGGTTTTGCGTGTTGAATCCGATTGAAACAAGCGTAACCCACACGCACACACAAACGAGAAATGTGTAGGTATTATCTATCTCCAGGTGCATTGAAATGTCGCCTCTGTTTCAAATGAGCTGAACAGCCTCAGTTGTCATGACCACCGTGTGGGCACCACAACAAATCGGAATGATCGCTCTTAAATTGTGCGAAGCTAGCTTTTTGCATATTTGTAAACCCGGCAAATGCGAGGTTGATTTTAGCGAGTCTTGGACGCGCTCGCTCCAGGGTTTATTCTGCTCACTGGTAGCCCTACACAGGCACCTGACACAACCCCAAGACGTTTTGCAAATGCTTGGTGCCGTGGACGCAGATGTGGATACCAGTTGCCATAAGAGTTGTAGATGAAGCAAGATCAGACTTGGATAAGTACTACGGTATGATACATGCCGACACCACGCTACTAATGCCACACAAATGAATCTATCTCAGACGTTGGCGACTTGAGTTTAGCGTTGTGACAATGGAGGTTGATGACCTGGATTCACGATGTCGCCTGTTGAGAAGAGGTGCATTCGATCGGGTGGTTGTCAGTTTGAGAGAGGCACGAGCACACACTAGACCAACCATGTCTGCTTTAGTGATACGCAGAGTGTTCAGTTTGGTACACAGTTAGTTCTTAGAGTGAGCCTGAAAGGCGCTAGTGTTGCGGCAGTGGCGTTGCTTAAATTGCCAGGCTGGCTTATGTGGACTCGTGGTGGAATGCATGGGAATGTCTTCAGTGCATTGGCACTTCCCTCCTTGCTTTTGTCACTATCACGGCTGCAGTGCATTTGGCTTCTCACTTGAACACACTCTCATCACGTTCACGTTGACAATCACATAAAAGTTAAGAAAGGCTTTAAGAACCACCTACTGGGCCATTTTACACACGTCATCTGAAAGACAGGTGAAAGAAGACGTGAGGAAGAGTCCAACAGTGAGTATTGCAAGGAGGTATGCATGCTGTCGCTCGTGGCTGTGATCTCGGTCTCGTTGCATTCAGACTCTAGTCCAGCGTCCACAACCACAAATGCATCACCTTGACATTTGTGTGCACTTCATAGAAATCACTCCTTTTACATACGTGCATTGTGTGTGTGTGCGTGCGTGCGTAGGCCAGTTGTTCTTCCTACCATCATCAATCTGACGGCGTGGGACCCCATCGTCTTCACAGTTCACACTTGCGTCCAACGAAACCACGACAGACCTCCACTTCACTTTAAACCCCACCTTGTGCTGCTGTGAGTGTGTGTGTGTGTGTGTGTGTGTGACAACGCACAATCACAGAAATGGTGCATAGTTAATGTTCATTTCAGTGATTAGTTCTGTGAGTTCGATGACCTCTCCAAGGTGATGCTCTCCATCTGGTTAGCCTGTCACACAATTCTGCGTAGCATTGAGTTCTACCGGTCCATGAAATAAATCTTAATGTGCCTCTGTACTTCAATCATAGGTAGTGCAGCACGTTAAACTGTGCCAATAATCCGTGGTGCTTGATTCAGAGTCGCGCATAATAGTGGGACTCGCTTCAGCAGGATGACTAGGGTTTTTCGGAGGAGACGCGACAAATTGCGTTGTACGAGGTCCCTAGTCAAGGATGCCATTGTATTTGGCTTCCGGGTGAATGTTTATTGCTACACCAAATGGTGAAATGTGTTTGCCGAAACTACGGATGTGGTGGAGAAGTTGATGGGGGTGGCGTTGTGGCAGGAGAGAGCAGCGGAATCCTGAGGATGAGTTGAAAGCCGGAGATAACGACGACGTAGCTGTTGCCTTACCCAATTCTAAGCACGGTTGCGTCGTCGGGTTCTGTGCAAAGATGTCTAGCGTATGACAGGACAGCCTCAGGGGTGACTGAAGAGGGCTTGATTCGAGTCCATTGGTCAGACGTGTGCAAGAACACCTGCCAGATAAAAAAGGGCTGCTCTAACTTCGGTTCTAACTGTCTGTGCGCTGACCCCGACGTGCTTGCTTTATCCGTAAACGGAGAGGTGCACATGCCTTCGTCCGATGACTGCTCACGTAACAAGCAGACGGGTGGTGTGCAGTTTCCTAGCTGTCAACTTGGTGGCAAGGATGACTTGTTATCCTTCAAGGGCTCAGGAAATCTACGCTAAGGAAGGCAGTCTCAATCAAAGCGGCAGACGTTCATCTTCAAGTCCAGAACCCTCCCTCTGTACTTGGTGATCCAATATCAAAATAGGTTCGATCACACCGCCACATGATGAGGTCGCTTCTCAAGTGGAAATCGTTGTGCGTTGTCTTGCCACGATATTTCAACCACTGCATCTAGCCTAGGCCAGCCACCCTGGGCGATGTCACCAAGACATTTGAAGTCAGATGACGCTGATGTTGGTGTTTGCTCTGACACACGATGTCAGTTGTGGCATAATGGTAAGAATGCGACGCGTTTCCAATAGTTGTTTACTTGGGGCTTGATAAGTCGTGTTAGGAGAGGAAACGTTGCGTGGAACAAGGTGACCATAACTCTCACACCCTTTCTCTCATTGTGTCGTGCAGTTGAGATGAGTAGAAAAGGGAGGCGTGAATGTTGACGCGTGTGGTGTCAGCAAGCCTCCGTCTCCTTTTGAAGACATCAGGTCGCGTCGTGGCCTAGACGTTCAAGTTTGGTAGGATTTGTCTACACAACTTCCCTCTTGGCAACCAGCTCATGACCTTCACTCACGACTTTGGAAAGCAACGCGATCGGCCAAGTAGTCCACAAGGGGTGGCCCCTCACTTTCGGCTGACTTCGAAAAGTTACGTGCTGCCTCTCTTCGGTTTCATTTCACTTTGTGTCAATGTACGCGGTGGCACAGTTGCCAGTTAGCCCCTATTTTATTCCACAATCCGACAGTAAACAGTAGGAATGAAAACCACCTTTCATCGGAAGCATCGTGTTATTAAGCAGTGCTCACACCGTGTTGCATTCGTGTGCAGTTATCGACTGTAGAATTAGTAGGATTTAATTTCATCTGTGTAGGAGTATATAAGTGAATAGATTCCCGTACTTTTCTGAGCCAGACTTGCTTTAAGTTCTTACACGTAAGCAGAGCTTGTGTGAGCCTAAGTTACTTACACGGTCTCAATTTTCTTAGAAATAGCATTCTGTTGGCTGGTGTGATTTTCACAAGGGTCTAGACAACCATCACACCCTCTGCTGTAATTAATGCATTTGTGTGAGAACAATAGAAGAGATGTAAGTTAGCGAATCTTGTGTTTAATTTTGTTGAAACTGTATTAAATTTGTTTATATATTCTGATAGCACATTTTCAGTCAGGCAATATGTCGTGGAATACTATTACATGTTTGAAGAAACGGTATTTTAATATCGGGTAAATCTTATTTCGTGTTCCTAGTCTCTGCCAAGTGAAATGACCGAGAGTTTGTTAAACCGTTTTTTTCATTTTGTATAGCAATTTTGTGGGTGTTTTTTTGGGTGATCAGAGCAAAAGATTTGAAGGTTTCATGGTATCTTCAAATTTAACTGTAAGGGACCGTAGGTACATTAAATCGACACTTTTAAATGTCAAATCTGTTTGTTTTGTCCTATAAATGTTTGGATGGTTGACATATTTTGAGACGTACAGTTGAGCCTGAAGTTATTGATATGTAACAGACTACTCATTTTAGAGATGCTGTCTAGTCAATTCAGACTTTTATCAGAAAACTAAATAACGGTTCATTGAACTAAAAATCCGTGTTCTTAAACCACTTTTACTTGATTACATGTGCAAATCCACTTTGTACTCTCGCAGTGATAATGCAAAACAGTCGATTTAAATCTTGCAGAATAAACAAATTAGTAAATTGCCATGTCGCCCACAAATCGCATTTTGCACGTGCCAAATTGCCAGTAGAAAGTTTTCTTATCGAATTAATGTAGATTCCCGTGGTGTGTGTTACAACGATGCAAGTGAATCAACTACACCATGTTTCTCAAATGGCCCGGCACGATGCCACTGTTTTGAATTTAGCCTGGTAATACTACCCTGATACCCGCGAAGACGAAGACAACCGGCGTTGACAAGGACACAGCTCAAGAAAGTTGTTGTCGTTGTGCCCTGTGAAGCGTTTGCGAGTGCGCATTTATGGCTTAGACGTGTGACTGAGCGAGTCATTGATGTGCTGACATCGACAGTTAAGGAGTTTTGTCATTAAACGAAAGGATAATCCAGGATAAACATCTGCGCTAATCCGGATTAGCGGGTGTGAGTAAACAGCGCACACCCTTAGCGTTATTATACTGCTGATATTAATTCCGCAGAAATAATTCCCTAAAACTAGGATATACAGCGACGATTAAAAGTACTACTTAAGCAACAACTTAAGTAAACCTAACAGCCTCTGCACCAGTTATGGAATGTGTTATCATTTATAGTAGTTTGGTTGCTATTTCCGATCTCCAGCTATTGAACCCAGCGTAAAGACAGGCATAGCCCTGACGCCTGCGTATGAGTCTTCAGAAGCGATAGGCAGCACCTTCGACCTCTGACTTGGGCATACTGAAGTTTCGAAGTGGTTTAAAGGACCTACTTAGACAGACGAAAGGCTAAAAAATCCGCTCACTAATATCTCTTGACTGCTTAATTACAACCGGCTATCACATGACATTTCCACTGGGACAATACGATGAAGCTAGAGTTTCAGATATGTTTTGGTTACCAGTGTAGAAATGCCAGATTGTGTCTATCACTTATGTTACCAAATGTGCGTTGACGGACTTTGTTTATTATTTTGAATTCGCTGTCTTTCGGTTCACCTGCCACGGACTAAGTTTTAAATGAATTATTGACTCCTTTCATTTTTAATAAGAGAGAGTATTTGTTGCATAAACTTTATTTCACAAGACATGCATCTTCACTCGATACGCATAGTAGTTCTCAAATACTGCCCTATACAACCCTTGTAACTTTAAGTATTTTGATTTCAGAAGATATTGTTAACTTCCTCCTACCAATTCAAAGACATCAATCAACCTTTACTTTAATCTACATTACGGTCAATGAATTCAGGTAGTACAATGGGAAGCATTTAAGGAATCAAAATGCCTTGCGAAATTTTCCTGATAAGTATTTTTTCTCCAACGAGCTTAGGTCCCGTAATGACGATGCAAAATCATGTTTAGGTCCCGTAATGACGATGCAAAATCATGTCAAGTAGTCAACCCATCAGGCCACAGTAGTTTAAACATCGTCCAAGACACGTTATTTCTTTGACCCAAATTTTGATAACCAGAAATCGGTCAAATGCTCGGATGCAAACGAGTCGTTGACACTCATTAGGAGTACCATTACCAACAAACTTCTACTTGATGCCCTATACCTGGCAACGTTTACTTTTAGTTCCTTACCGGCCTCGCAAAAAGTCTGAATATTGATTTGCTTCCCCAAACTGCTTATTTTTAGTGAATTCACGCTTCATGCAGCGGTTCTAATTACAATTTCATTTTCCTGAGTTCTGGTTGGTGGATGCTTGAAATGGTGTGCACTGCGGTCTTGGGAACCACACCGAGGCCAACGATCTGCGTCGACACGGTCCGTTCGAAGAAAGAGAAGGAATCAGATAGCGCATAGCCCGACGTATTTATTGATGCTGTAGTGGTGTGTGTGTAGAACGTAAAAGGTCAATTTATACAGGATCGGTTAAACACCGATCCCTGAACAAAACCAGTTACGTTAAGTGAACGTTTAGTCATTGTTGTCTCCTATTGGTGAATAATACAGTTGTGTCTGCGTATATTAACTCAATCTTCAGATGTCAGCAGCCCCAACGTGAGCTGAGGTCGCCCATCGGAGCCCCTGTGAACAGTGCAGAGAGATTTCTTAGAGCGATTTTGTGATCGGTTACTTGGCTGGAGGGCGCTTGTAATTTTGTCAGACTTCAAAGAAGCAAAAAGAACTCACTACTGAGCAATTTAGTTGAAATATACACAATTAGTAACCGTTATTCAAAGTTCAGTAACAGTGGTTTGGTACTTAAGACAAAGCAAATACAGCCTTGACCTTCTACTTACTGAAATCTTGATGCAGCCTCGTAGGACGCATCCCATTTTACTCTTGTGTCACTTTTTATTAAAGTGACACTCAAAATAATTGTAATGTTAATTCCAAACCCACATTATTTTCAGAAATATACAGTTGCACTCAATGCAAATATTTACAAGGCAATTACACTTCTAATTATCCCAGGCCAATAAGAAACAGTAGTGTCGCGGCATAAAGTGGTTTAAACAAAACACAAAGCAGATTTTTTCTCCTCTGTGATGTGTAGATTAAATAAGGAGACTTTGGTAGATGCAAAAAATAGTTTACACATTGATGTAGGATTAACCCGACTTAAAAATCTGCAGCAAAACAGTTTTGTTCATCCTCTCCTTTGAGATCAGGATATAAAGTTCAGGGCTAAAATGATTAAATTCATGCTAAAAACTGCGTCATTAAAAAAAGCAGCAAATGATTTACTATAAAGGCACGCAGAGTACGCCTACAACTTAAACAGTTGCTCGTCCGATTCCATATATGCAATTTTATACTCTTCTTGTAGTGGTCGTGACTGATGCTACGGGCATCCAACCTTGGTTAGGTGCCAAACTTATTGGTGGCCTTGTAGGAGTTTGAAGCTTCTACCATCATCGACATTGGTCGTTTTGCGTGCGTATTCATGGTCCTAAATAATGTCAGGAAAAGGGATTGTAATGTAGTCTGTCCAGATGATGCATTAGGCAAAGAAACAACAATCAGTTAGATTTGAGTGAATGCTGATTGGGTATTAATTTGCATGAAGGCATCGAATGTGGTAGAATTGTTGCCGGGATTTTCCTATTAAATTTAAACTAACTAGCTAATAACACGTAAATTACAGATGGATGAAGAGCAACAGCCGCTCACTAAAGGGAGCGGAAAACAAATGCAGTAGGGCAGCACAGAAAGGAGAGTAAGCACTCATACTTTAAGACTTCCAATCTGATGAGAAAAACAGTTTTTATGTAAGGAGAAACGAATCGCCCCAACTTAGTGTCAGGTGACTGATTGCGTTGACGAATAATTGGTAAATAGTTGCCAAGCTCCTCTGAGTGACTGCGAATGGATGCGCACTTTTCAGCACATCCAGTTG